CCGTCGATCGACCGGAAATCGCACGTGATAATCGCGGTCGACGCGCGTTCAACCCCTTCTGCCCCTCTCTGGAGGAGATCCCTGGTCGATGCCTGGTCGATCGATGGCGATAGGAGATCGTCGGAGGCGCGAGCGATTATGTCCCGGGGTCTCCGCGGGCGATACGCGTCGGACCGGGACAAAAAGTGTATACTTTATCAGGTGTGTAAACAGCGGCGTAGCTCGGCAGAAAATTATGGCGGGACCGGTGTACTCGCGGGCGCTTCGGGCTCCCGGCCGGCACCGGCCTTAAACAGAGTTGTAAATTAATGCAGCAGCCGAGCGAACGAGCCCCGGCGCTATTAATCACGAGGAACTTAATTACAGTCACGCGCTACCGCGTCATTGTTCCCGTCCATGATTCCAGCCACCCGCCATGGAAAAAGCGTCGCCATGCTTCCGTGAAATTGCGCGTTTAATGCGGAATTTATTCGATTCCCGGATGAGTGTTGTGCAACCGTAAGGGCTGATCGGGATCGCGACAGAGTGCACAGTGTGAGTTACGCAAGTAACTCTGTCATCTTAGCTCACTCGTGAGCTATTTATTGCGCGAAAAAAAATAATATTATCGGAGTATCGTAATATTAGTATATTATTAGAATATTATATGAATATATTATTTTTACAGTGCTACTGGAAAGCTGGAGTTGTGGTTTTGATACGAAAGAATGTTATTTATAAAATACTTATAATTTTAGGATACTATATATAGGGTAAGTTAAAATGATATTATCGGAGTATCGTAATATTAGTATATTATTAGAATATTATATGAATATATTATTATTAATAAAATATTTATAATTTTAGGATACTATATATAGGGTAAGTTAAAATGATATTATCGGAGTGTTGTAATATTAGGATATTATTAGAGTATTATATGAATATATTATTATTACAGTGCTACTGGAAAGCTGGAGTTGTGGTTTTGATACGAAAGAATTAGTTATTTATAAAATACTTATAATTTTAGGATATATATATAGAGTAAGTTATTTAGTTATTAAGTTAGAATATTTAGTTATACTATTAGAAGAATACGTGTATCGTTGAATATTATACGAATATATTATCATTACTATCGGAAAGTTGGAGTTATAGTTTTGATATGAAAGAATATTATTTTATTATAATTACTGTAATAGCACCAGGATGATATAAATATAAAATCATGGTATTGATATGAAAGAATACGATTGTAGTATTATATTAGAATTATTATAATACTAGTATTTATGAATATTATGATAGTATGAGTACACTATTAGAAAGTTAGAAATTACGGGCAATAGGTTCATGAACTTCAGCGTCCACGCTACAGCTTTAAGTTTATGTTTTTTTATATTTCAATTCTGTGGAGTTTTGAGTCTTATTCTTTGAATAACCTTGTAGAATTTTAAATTTAAATTACAACAGAACGTTTCGATACTTCACGTCACCGTGTAACAATATTGCAATAATTCTAATTCTTGACAGAAGTTCTACTTCATTCGGAAGACTATTTTATAAATAAACAATATATCTGAATGATTACAGGTATATATATTTTTCTAACGTGATCAGACACGTAGATATAAAACTCTAACATTAAATAGATAAAGATTATTTCATCCAATAACCCTCAAATACTTCTCCTCTGAATTACACGTATTATATTATCATCGTTAATTTTTAATTTTTAATTTTAACAGTATTTGTATCTCTACCATGGAACACCATTTTCTGCTTTATTACTCCACCTTTTTTACGCCTATTTCCACGTTCTGTTTTTTCCTCTGCTGGGAAGAGCCGCACGAGCGTTTCTTCTCGTCGTGTATCTTATCGTCGACGGAACGTAGTCGTTCGTTATCAGCCAATGTATTTATGGGGTGGGATATGAAGCTAAAGATTGGATAGATATCGTCAGTAAGGCTGGTACATTTAGAGGAACGTAGTGCACGTACCACGTGTGTGCGTGTTTGTACATGAAATCCAGGGACAAGTAGAATTTTATTACAACCTCTCCCGCGTGGCACGGTCGGTTCGATCGCTTTTACGCGAACAGATTATTATTAGATAGATTCTCGCCTCGCGTGCAGATTCGCTTTCACGTTTGAACGTCGCCTATTCGTCGAAATGTGATTTCACCGAAGATACAGATAATAAGAAAAGAAGTCGAATAACCTATGGTATCGATAATATCTCGAGAATCGGTCGAGATATCGGTATTCCGTTTTCCTCCTCGTGTTTCTCCTTCTCGTTTCATCTTTCTTACAATTTCCATGCTGTTTCTTTTGACCATAATACTTCTTCGAGTCTCTTCGAATTCAATCTTGATATTAATTGCTCCAGTGAATGCTCAACTCTCTTAATCGGTTTCGTAATTTTTTTCTCACTTTTCTTGAAATTCTGTTTCGAGGAAAAAGAAAATTAATAACATTAATGTAAAATTGAAAACAGAAATTATTTAGACTGTTCCAAAAATCCTCTCCATAAAGAAGAAAAATGTAATATTTTTCATATGTTTTGGAACTGGTGCTGGTTTTAATTATAAAAAATATGTATTGATTGTATTATTTTATTACTTGTTACATTCAATTATATCATTATATTATACATAATTATTAATACATCGAAAGGGCTTAGAAGTCAATCACCCAAGTCATTTTCCATCAAAAGTGACAAATAAATATATATATATATATATTTTCCTTTAGTCCATTTACACGATCCAGTCATAATATCACGATAATTACATTGCTATGACTAAACCGTTTCGCCGGCCGACAATTTCAACAGAAAGAGAACATTTGCACGACATAAATTATTCGTAACGAAAGACTAACTAACACCGATTGGTTCCTGAATCCTCTGTACATAGCTTTGGCAAAGAAGTTAAGAAACGAGGCGCGGGAACGTCGATCTATCCAAACAAACGTCAATTTTCGAGCACTTGAAAATTCGTAGCCCGTCTCGTGTCGCAACGACGATCGCACTATGGTTTGCACAAGTGTTCGGTGGCTTGTTAATCGGCCGCTCGTCAAACGGATGCTAATAAATTTTGTTTCATCACTTAGACCAGAGCACCGGCGCTTTTCAATCCAGTAATGCATCGTCGATTCGCACCTGAGTGATGGGGAATTATAACAGAGATCTTCCGTATATGATCGTCCGCGAGAGACTTTACATTAATTTCAATACACGCGTTCCTTAACCATCCATGCTCGCCTCTGCGAGATTGTAATCAGACGAAAGTTCGTTTTCGCTCCGTGATTTTATCGTCTTTTGTATATTTTATCGATCGTGCATATAGGTACAACATGTACCGAGGATCTATTTCGTGCTCGATTATATGATTGTGTTTTGGAAATCTTTGCTCGTAAGAGTAATATACGAAAGCATGTGTTTCAGTGATACAGAGTTACAATTTTGAATAATTTCTTATCTAATATCTAGATGCAACTCTAATTCTTATTATACAATTCTAATATATTTTTCAGAGTTTGAGCTAAATTCGTGATAAATTAACTAATAACAATTACAATTTGTATTACTATTGGCATTACAGTTGCAAGAATTTACAGTTTATGTTTTCGGTATAATGAAATTTTGGTCATAATATTAAAAGGTGCCGTAAAAAAAATAATCCTGAAATCAGGATTATTTTTTTTACGGTTTGCTTCTTTTCTACATTATTATCACGAGATGCAAATTGTAATTTCTAGCTTTCTAAATTTTCAAGCCAGATCAAAGTCAACTTTTGTTATAATTAAAAAAGGATGAATAAAAATTGAACGAGTCTCAGAAATGATGTATAGTAAGCACTTGAGGATTAACCGATTTGATTAACTGACGTTGCTCTTTGATCCTTCTCAAATCTTCTCTACGAAAATCCTGACGGACGATTAATCTAAGAATATATATCGCTGTCCGTGAAAATTCTAGAAAGATTCGACGATGTTTAAATAGCAGGAAATTTCAGAAAATTGGAAATGTTTGAATAACAGAAAATAATGCAAAAACTGTATAATACTTAACAAGTGGGAAATTTCAATATCAAATAGCTTAGACATTGAAAATTTCAAAAGAAACACAGAAATAATGAAACAGATAAATAATCTAGAAAACATTGGAGATAAACGATAAAAGATATATGAAAAGTATAGAAAAGAGAAAAATTCAAAGTAACATGGACTACCGTGGAACGTTGTAAAGATCATTCGTGATGATCAAAGTGTCTGCACGTAGCAGAGAAAAACTACAAATAAGTATCTTTATTTAAAGGATAACCTTCCGTTTCCAACAAAACAGGGGTTTACGATTAGATACAGCAGCTCCTTTTTGATCGTTCTTTACCCAAAGAGATAAAATGTTTCGTGCGTCTGTGTACTTTACATATTATCTGTTTGAGAACGAAATGGCATACCGAAACGTCTTGAGACGTTTCGAGATACCGAGGATTAATAATAGCAAAAGATCTCGTTGATAACGATTCTGTAAATAAAGTAAAATAGCTCGAAGTGTCGAAATAATAAATTTCACTCTGAAATCCAGTTCAATTTAACCTTTCTTTCATTTCTCTTTCGTTTTTATTTATTTGTTCAGTTATTATTCGTTTTTTTTTCTACGATTGCTTCTGTAAAGATTATAACGAGCGCTTCACTTTTGATAGCACTCGATTCTTACACGTTATTTGATATTTGAAATAAATAAAATAAAATGGTCTGAAGTTCATTCGATTCAATTTTAATTTTACTTATTCCATTTCCTATCTTTATATCACTGTTTATTTATTCCTATATGATCGATTCTTATGTAAATTCGTATTTAATATTGAAACAATTAATGAAGCGAGGTTTAAACAGAGATTTGTTTCAGTTTCTAAAAAATTATAAGCATTTCACTTTAAATATTTAAATATTTTCGCACATTATTGTGCAATTTGTGAATATCTGCAATATCTAATTGCACGATTCTTGAGTATTAATGATTTGAAGAAGAAAAGTCAAAACTGCATCGAAAGCTGTTGTCTTCCAAACATATACAAATTCGACTTAATTTTGTCAGCTGTGGGTCCTTAATTTCGCAAACAAATATTTAAGAAGAGCAGAAAGCACAGCTGCACGGAAGAAAGAGAGAGGTGATCAAATGCACGACAAATATTATAACATATTAAGTATACGATTAAATATTTAAACGTTTAAGATTCGAGTTTGAGGTGTCAATAAGGAGCGACTATTGACATCGGTATTTAAAGGAAGAAACAATTCAAAGATATAATCTTGAAGACAGACAACGATGTTTAAAAACTACTAACGCGAAACTAATATAAAAATTACACACTTGGGAGGAGAAGGAGAATAGAGAAACTTGAAACTTCTTGGTCAAATGTTTATCAAAGAAATATAACAAACATTAATCTTTGTGTAAAATATTGTAATTGTAACGATAATATCGTTCTTTCTATTAAAAAGAGGAGGGGGGAGGAAGATATTTAAACGATAAAATACGATGATTCTGGAAAAGAAATTCATAATGATATACAAAGAAAAAAGATATTTCTTCTTAAAATAAAGCACAAAGTAATTTCAAAATCGTACGCTCGAAAGATGAGAAATAGATTGGAATTAATTTTGGAAACAGCACAAAATTCATTCGATCAAAAATACACATGTATTATGGACTTATGTTGTAGACAATTTTGTGAACACCTAAGGATTTTATATATTTAATCAATTTTCAACGAATTACAAACTTTATCCGCAGCTAAGTGAGTAGAATTCAATGAATATTAAATCAGCACTCGTGCATACTTTTGTATATTACATGCAATTCACGTAATTTTGCGTCTTCAAGTCAACGAAATACTCATCTATAATTCTACAAATTTCTGTTTACTTTGACTCTTTCGCTATAAACTATTACTTGAAAACTATTACTTTTCCCTACGTTCGTTTTACATATTTTACCTTTAAATTTGAATCTTTCGAATGCACGAAAATCGTGAATCGCGATACAATGAATCACATAATGAATGAGTAAGGGATAGATATAAAATTCGTCCAAGATACGGAGGGAGGGGGGGGGG